TGTATTCCTTAAGGGAAAACATTCATCCTTTTATTATTCAATATCCACAATATCACAGAGGTTGTGGCACCGAAAGTGAAACCTTCCCTTTGTTGCAACAAAAGGAGTACTTTGGATTTGCAATGCTTGAATCGGCACTGTAATAGAGGGGATGTTTATTGTGGAACAAGAGTTGAGTCTTGTGTAATCTAAGCTATTCTATTGTTTATGGTTGTGTGACTATTGCTATTGACGACCGCTCTTACATTATCCCCCCTCAAAGGGTGGACTCGATAACCTTGTGAACTTGGCTGACATGGGCTGTTGTGTGTTGTTGGTTCTTCTTCAAAGTGTCAGCTGATGTATGCTTCAACTCAAAGCTGGTCTTGTCCTTGTTCCGAAATCCAGTGATAATCCAAGGACCAGTCCACTTAGGTGATCCAAAAGTCCAACGCTCCTTTGAAAGTAGCTTCAAAACCTTGTCACCAATTTCATACTTGGAGCTTTCTTGACGCTTGTCATCATAGTACTTCTTTTGTCGTTCTTGTGCTGTAGTCAACTTCTTCTTGATGTTTCCATGGATAAGAGGCAAATGAGAATTGAGATAATGGATCCATTCCTTTGTATTGTATCCCTCTGTGGTAGAAGGTGTCAACTCGGCTGTTGCTGGTAGAGTGGGCTTGCGTCCAAACATGGCTTCAAAAGGTGATACACCAATAGATGCTTGAACAGCGGTGTTGATGGAGAATGTGATCATTGGCAAATACGCGTCCCAATTCTTCGGATCTTGTTCGATTTGCGTTGCCAAAGCTGTCTTCACCGTACGATTCATTCTCTCAACCAAACCATCACCTTGAGGATGCTCCACCGATGTTTGTGGTGTCTGTAAGAATAATAATGACTTCATAATGACAATGATGAGGGATGCTGGACATCCCATGTAAATAATGCTGTTTCATTCATGCACATACTCATCATCTTAATCCATATCCATGTAATAGTAAAAGTATATAAAGAGTTGATCCCATGATAATAAACACCCGACATCAGTCTCACAGTACTTGATCTTGTCTTTTACATTCTTGTTTTATTTTTCAATCTTCAAACACCTCATTTTTTACTGTGAATTCCAATATGTCACCTACCAACAAGTCTCAAGACCAACCAACCACGCCCAACATGGGTAAATTGTCCCTCCATGATAACAACGACCCTATGGAAGTGGACAACAATGAGCCTTCAATGGCCAACAAGAATCAAAAGGGTGCGGCGAAACCAACTGACCCAAGAATTCGAAAGGCATTGGATGCTTACCAAAAGATGAAATCCGACGTCGAAGCAATTGAACAAGCATACAATGATGTTGCTGCTGAGGATTCTATTGCATCGGATGAAAAAAAGAAGCGGCTCACCAAACTAAAGGAAGCTCAAGCTCACCTTGAAGAGTCGTGTCAAGCTTGGAGAAATCAACATCCAACACGCCTTGAGTTTTTATCAAAGGAAGAAGTCGAAATCGAAAAGCAAAGACGTGCCAATAGAACAGTCATCGTGCCAAAGGACTTGCCAGTGTTGCAATTGGCCGGAGGTTACAAGTGGAATCCACGTAAAGTGGTACACAATTCGGCCGCTGCATTCATCCGTGCCTTTGAACGTGAGTTGAACGCCCATGGACCTGATCCAGAAAACGATTGGAAACGACTCTTGTCCCGTTCGTTGAATGATCCTCAATATCTATGGCTCAAAAATCAGCTCACTAATATGGACGAAGCTATTACCTGGGAACGTGTTTCCAAGATGATTATAAAGAAGTATGACACCCAGGTACAGAAATATCGTGCAATGCGCCGTGTGGTACGTCTTCAACAAGGGCCTAACGAATCTTTGCATGCCTATATAATGAAATTCCAGCAACTTGCCTTGGAAGCAGAGATGCCCACTGGCTTGTTACTTATCATCATTTTTCTTTCGTCCCTCCAACCCAAGGTTAGCGAGCAAGCATTGCTTACTATCGTGAATAAGCATGGAAGTGCAATGCCGGAGGATTTGGAGGACGTTTGTCAATTGGTGTCTGCCATGAAAGTAACCGAAACAGGTGAAAGAAGAGGAAGAGACGACGAGGCAGACGAATTTCAACCCGCTTTCAAAAAACAAAAAGGCGGCAAGCCACAAAATTGCCATCATTGCAAGGCTACTTGGAGTCCCGGCCATAAGTGCCGCGAATTTTATGAAAACAAGGCTAAAGCAGCTGCCGCTGCTAACACCAACAACAAAAAGAAACCTTATGTACAAAGAGGAGCACGCCTTAATAAGGCCACTGCTGATATCGATACTTTGCCTTGTAAGTCAATGAACAAAAAGCATAACGAAGAAGTCGATGAAATATTGACACCGATCACAATAGAGGGCCATCGCATCAAAGCATTGGTCGATACAGGTGCCAACTTCACAATATTAAGTCATCGATTTGTTAAAGAAGCACAAATAAAGTATAAAGAAGTGTTTGGTAATATTACTTTGGCTTTCAAAGGTGCTATAGCACCAAGAATTGGAATTACTGAACCATTGAGTGTTGTGTACAATGGTAAACGTTTTATTAAGACATTTGAGATTATGGATCTAGCTAGGGATCCCCAAAAAAACCCGAGGACCGAACCAGTACTCGGTACATGTCGGTTATCCCGGTACGGTACCATCAAGAGGACTGACTAGGTACCGGTAGTCGGTACCATGGAGGGACCGAGGGACCGAGTACCTATATATCATATATAGTAACATACACGACTACAGCTACAAGCAGCATGCATCAAGCATCAAGCATACATTCAGACATCATCTACCTACCAATGTTCATACATTATATCTACTCATGCATCAGAGCAAGAGAGCATCATCATCTTCTAGATATTATAAATCTCAAAGAGACTGTATGAGTTATACTTGTTGCTTATTGCACAAATAGCTACAAAGATTATATTGGATGGAGTTTTTTATTAACTCATAATACTATAATGCTACAAACAGCAAAAGAAAAGGAAATCTATATATGTCGTCTATAAAAAGAAAAGGGAAAGGGAAAGGGAAAGGAAGAGGAAAAACGGAAAAGGGAAAGGGAAAGGGAAAGAACAAGGAAACTATACATGGAGCTTCATGTCCAGCCAAGAACCCAGCAACATTAGCCGCTTGATCGTTGAAGGAGAAAGGCGATTGCGAACATGGGGGAGGAGTAGACGTGTTGCTGAGAAGCATCGTTCAGAAGGAGTCGACGTAGCAGGCACTGCCAGATATTGAGCTGCCATAGCAGCTAAGTTTGGCCAATGCGCTTGATTGACCTCCCAGAAGATAAGCTCGTCGGATTTTGAAGGATTCACCATGGGGGCAACTCTAGGCTGGCCAATATACTCCGAAAGCTCGTCTGTTTCAAGCTCGGTCAAAAAGAGCTCCTGGAGTTCTTGCGCTCTCTCATTGACTTCGTCATCAATCGATACCACACCAGAAAACCTACTCCATGCATCGCGTACCATATTCTCACTGATATCACGCCACTTCTTCTCCCAACCATGACGTTTCCACCACTTGAACTTCATTCGTGGATCGAGAGCCGTTGCAACAGCGTACACTTCGGTCATATCAGTATGGCTGTAATATTGCACCATCTTCTTGATACCACAGCTAACGGCACGCCTGATTTCAGGATCCTTGGACTTGGCCTCGATCTTCTCAAGTGCATCCATGATTCGATTATAGCACAGGATCGTCATGTTGACTGAGGCATGGGACCTGCTTGCTGACAACCTCGTCGTGTTCTCCTCGAATGGATATAGTACCTCAATGATCTCCTGTATACGTAGCCACTCTGATGACGACAATGCGAACTCCTCAAGCTCTGATCCAGGTGCCGTCATCGCCATGTAAGCCTCCTTCAACTTGACAGCACGATTCAACATGTCGTACGTCGAATTCCAGCGTGTACGAACGTCCAGCGTAAGATTCAGTGGCGGACACTCCATGGCAGGTCGCTTGCGCTCAAACGTGGCGTACCTCTGTGGTGAGGAGCTATACATGCAATATAAGTATCATTACCAGTATCAAGTATATGTGCACAAACTTACCGAATCTTAAGGATGCCTTTTCTAAGCTTGGCGAGTGGTGAGACAGGCTCATCAGAGGTGTCATGGTCAATTACATTGTCCGGGTGCCTGTGCTCTCAACCCAGTTTTGAGGATGGCTTGGACGGCAAGATTGAAGATGTGGCCAATGCAAGGAATATGATGGCGCAAGCGAAAAGGCCTATGATACAAACGTACGTTAACTCTTGATCACCTTGAAAACACATTCACTTACCATTGTTTCGATTCTTGCTTGCCATAATCCACGACATGCCTTACCATGGTTGTCATATTGGATGCGTTGTCGGTGGTGACCGTGAAGAGCTTCTTGCCGAGATCGAACTCCTCAAGGACGTCAATGAAAACGGCTGCCAGATTTTCACCCGTATGTGGTCCATTGACGGGCTCAAAGCCGATTATCACCTCCTTCAAAGTCCACGTAGCCTTGTCGATCCAATGGGCAGTTACCGCAAGGAATGATTGATTGAACGGGCTTGTCCAACCATCCAATGTGCATGACACGACTGGCACCTTCCTGAACATTTCCTTCAATTGATCGCCAGCCATTTCAAATTCAGCATCGGTCTAAAAAATTATGGTCAGTATTTGATTGTTTGACACAAGGTATGGTTGTTACTCACTTTTCTCGTACAGGTACTCGCCGAAGGGAGTTGCACAGCTGCTGCCGTTGGTGCATTGCGTGCCATGTCAAGAAGTTCCTGCAATGCTGCATTCTCACAGGTCGTAAATGGCAACTTGCTGGACACCAAAAACCTGACGAACAGACGATGGAACTCTTCTACCTGGAAGCTGCGAGCAGGTTTTCCATGAACAAACGTGTCCAAAGGGCCACTACGTTTTTCGCCGCTCTTGATGTGAGGACCAACATCCTTTTTGATACCATGGGTAGCAAGATGCCTGGTGAATCCAGAGGTGGACGAGTACTTGCTGGCTATATGCTTGCCACAGTTACGCACCAAGCAGTGGATCGTAGGATTGCCATTACTCGTCGATCGTGTGCCATACTTGTGGACAAAGAACCAAGCACCGCCATCGCTATCGTTGTCTTCATCACCTGTTGTTGTGCCCTGATACAAAGCCGACTCATCTTGATCCACGGGTGAGAGAACTGAATTACCATCATCGCTATCATCACGACCATCAAGACTATCATATGTGTTCTCGGTGCGAATAGACATCATGGAATCTTCTCGAGAAAGGAGGGCCTCATCGAATGATGGTTGTAATACGGTAAGTGAGCAGGAGGATCATTAATGCATAACATCAAATTGTAGACATACCCCATCAGACAAAGCACCACGTGGATCTTTCGAGGAACTACCGACTTGAAATCGCATGATGATTGAATAGTGATGTATATGAACAAAAGGAGATGATATAGAAGATATACGCGTCCTTAGACTTATGTGTGCTTTGTGTTAATAAATGCTACCCTTTTATATCATTGGAAAACTACCAGGAGTGACCACTGCAATGAATAATGACAAATCTCGCGAACGAATAGGGTGTAGCCGTATATCCTGATCCGATGGAAGACGTCTTTAGATCCGAATACCACAGTGCACAGCTATTGCCATTGGTGTTGATCCACCATTTTACATAATGAAGCGACTTATTATCACTATCTATGGCCATCCATCGGATTGACAGCTCCTGATCCTTTACCCTTATCATCGTTAAACCAAACGTTCAACCGATTAATCCCGATTGCATTAGCGCTATGAGGTTGTCGCGATTGAACCATGAAGGATGCCCACTTATTTCGAGGTTACATATGGGAAATGGCCATGAAAAAGTACATGTACATATTGATTGTGGATCGAGTCTATAGTAAAGAATCTCCTTTGTAACTTTATGCGTTATCGTGGAACTATCATTATGCATTGTTTCGCCTGTCATCTATCTTTTGCACGCGTAATCGCGTTCTCGAATATTTTACACGCGTATTCGCGTTCTCGGATCAATTTAAGTCGCCACTAGAGCATCTGAGACAAAGACTCCAAGGTTACAGTGGGGAGTTTTATTAATCACATATGTAACCAACATCCAACAAGCAGGGTTGGCAGTATTCTCCCATTTTTCATGCTCTTCACAGTCGTCTACGATACCACTACCATTATCAACTCGATATTCTAACATTGACAAGGTACTCGGCAAAGCTGACACCATGTGGAAATGTCATCCGTATAGTTACACAAACCAGCATGCAGGGCCAAACTGGAACCTAAGTTATTATAGCATCATGCCATCGCGTGTTGTCTGCCAAGTATATACGTCTCTACAAAGTTGCATTCATTATCATGGAGCTATACGCAGATTATGTATTCCCACCACTCGACACAATGATCATCTACTCTCTACCACCATGGACCTCCAAATCTAAAAAAGGCCCAGTTGGTCGCCATTGGCAACCAACCAGGCCTTCAATCATACACCACATTCAATACGACCACTCACTTGTACCAGCGCTTTCTACGACTTGAGCTATACTGCTACTATTACACCACTTCAACCGACACCTAAGACTCAACTATGCCGCCGACAACCAGCTGCGATATTCGATCTCCAACTACTCTCCTCATCGACGTCCAAATCTAAAAAAGGCCCAGTTGGTCGCCATTGGCAACCAACCAGGCCTTCAATCAAACACCACATTCACTACGCCCACTCACTTGTACCAGCGCTTTCTACGACTTGAGCTATACTGCTACTATTACACCACTTCGGCTAACACCAGTAACTCAACAGCATTCCAACTCTGCCATGAACACCCAGCTACGATATTCTCGAGGAGTTGAGCATCACAGCAAACGTCATCAAATCGAATCCTGCCATCCTCGATTTCACACCACCATCCACTCTACGAAGACTAGCGATGGACCTTTTTCCTTCGGCTTGTGCTATCAACGCATTCGTTGATTAGCAAATACCTCGCATTTTACATCCCTGATATACACCGTATCATACCACATCATTACAAATACAGCAATAAAGGTTTAATGAAAACAATAATGCTACGACTACTTAAGAAAAATTGATTAAATCGTCATTTTTATTGCCTCGGTACCCGGTACTCGGTACTCGGTACCGGGTTATCGGTATCTATCTTGAGATTCAAAAAAACCGAGTCGGTACTCGGTCCTTCTTGGTACCGACTAACTCGGTCTCAACCTTTTTCGGTACGGTGTCGGTACCACTGAGGTACCGACGTTTTTGGTACGTGGGGAACCCTAGTAATGTCCACACGCTTGACAACATCATTCCTACCAGCATACATGATCTTCCCATCCACAGGTGTATACGACCAATTGTTGGCATCACACAATGTTTTATTGATAACAGAAATTTCTGCGCCAGTATCGACAAGGCCGACGAGTCGCTTATTCTGTACCAAGATGGGTGTTTTCATGAGATATGGATTGTCATTCAATTGCGCAGCAAACAACAACTTACCTAACGATTGCCTTGCGAGCATTTCATCCACATCTTGTAATTCATTCAACGGGATGGGCGAGAAGGAGTCATTGTTGTTGATTGCTGAATCAGCCGGATGAACGAAGTCGTCAGATAAATCCATGTCATTTGAATCATGCACCATGGTATTTACCTGCACGTTGTTCTCGTTACGGCGAGAATTGTGGCGTCTTGGTGGTGGCATCTTGCCCTCAGCACGAAGTTTGGCCTTCTCCACTTTTGAAGCATGGCAAGAGTGACCGGGCTTGTAGGAATGATGTGCATAATGACATTTCGCACCTACAATTGGCTTCTTCAACTTGTCACACCTCTCAGAGACGTGGTCACCTTCGTCATCGCAATGGATACAATAAATAGACCCGTCCTTGCCAGCCTGCTTCGAAGCTTTATGCTTCTTATGATGCGAGAAACTGGAACCAGAGTTTTTGTGCGTGCGTTTCTTCGTAATTGTAATGGAATCAGCAAGCTTAATAACCTCTTCAAGGTTGTCAGGCAAGCGATCCTCATTACCAGGACGAGCATAAAACGACATGAGCACCCTTTCTTGTACATCCTCAGGCAAAGATAAAAGGAACAACATGGCCAACACATCGCAATTGGTCAAGCCGGCATCAATCACCAAGTTTTGGTAACGAGTACCGTAACGTTGGGTTGTCTCGCCATCGCGCATAGCGCACTTGAACACCTCCATTGCTTTGCGTGCCATGTTGTCATGCGACACAAAACGTGCACGAACTCTCTGGCAACATCATTCCAATTGAGTTTCTTACCGCTTAAAGTGTCAGCATACCATTTTTCAAGATCGGCTGGGAAAGCACAATGCAACACCTCATCCCACTCAGTGTCCAAATTGTATTTGTGGGAACGAAACAGCTTCTTCATGCTGAGCAAAAAAGCATCAACATTGGGAAAGACATGCTTGTCCTCAGGAGACTCGTTGACTCCTTTGATCACAAAAACGTGGAACAAGATTCATCGTAATGTGCTTACGAGAGCTGGTGGTGGTGTCAGCATCCTTAGGAGTGAGGATAGCAATGTTCTTTCTAGTCCTCTCAATCTCCTTGTGCAAAGCCTCCATTCGCTTCACAATGGTTGCCAACTCGTCCTCGGGAACTGGTTCCATGGTCTCAAGTTGGATTTGCTTGATGATCAAGCTCTCCAACTCCTTCTCTTTTTTCTTGAGCGATTGTCGAGAGAGAGCAAGGGCGTCCACGTACTTGGAGGCCAAAGCACCAGTGGGTTCAATACCCTCCATGGGGGCAGGGCCATTGTTGTTGTTGGTGGGAGTGTTGACAGGGGTTTCATTGTTGTCGCCCATGTGGTTGTTGTTGTTGGCAGTTGCAGCAGGCGAGGCAGCAGGAGAGGAAGCAGCAGAAGCAGACATGTTGATGTTGATGATGTTGTTGAAGAGTATTCAAAGGAAAAAATGTGGAATTTGATGTGATAGCAGTGATAAAGCTGATAGCAATGATAACAAGGATAAATCCTTTGAGACTCGAAAAAGGGAGAAAGATCTTTATTTGTGCTGTCTGTGCTCCTAAATAAACATTGACAGGGGTCATCTGGGTTGGGTTAGGTTTCACCTATCAAACCCAGACTCCAGAATACGACAAATGTCACTTGGACATCATTGTCATCGGGGACCCAAGCATTGCCATTAGAGTGACGCTGTTCAGCATCAGCAGGTTGGTTTTGGTTGGTGGGTTGCGGCTCAGCACGAGGTGCATTTGCCTCTCCCATGTGCGTATCCTCCAAGGAAGGATTAGCAGGTGGTGTGTTGTTGTTAGGGGATTGAGACATGATCGAGTAGGTAGTGTTATCAAAATTCAATTAAAAAAATCTGAGGATCAGGATATCAGAAATGGATAACAAGTTAAAAGAGTAATTGAGATTGATATTTATTCGTGAACACTGCCTAGCTATCTTATATACGTTTTCCTGATCATCAAGTATTATTATTCCCGAGCATACGAGTTATCATTATGTCCATGTGTGTATTATCTATGTCTTTGTTCTATATAAGCTACAATCAATGTCAATGCAATGCAACTATAAAAGTGACCGATGTTTGTTTATTAGGAGATATAGGAAGTATTGTGGTTTACCACAACGCCCTTGCGAATACGATTGATTCTCTTCAACCATCTCAATGGATTCTCGTCATCATCGCCTTTAAAATGCTTGGGCTTAGCCAAAAACTTGCTTAAGGATGCATCCGACTTGAACATGGTAGTGTTTGTTACACCAGTAGCTTGATCTTGAGGCATAATCACAAATAAAAGTATATAATATAAGCGCTTGCAAACTTGTCAAGGTAATTGTTGTTTGCGCGGCTTCTCCACCAAAATGATACGTGTGATATGCGAGACGTGGTGTAATAATAATAATAGAATGCGAAAGGGGGATTCTTATAGCTCGGTATCTTCGACAATGAAAAACGATCGTAATAAAAGATAATGTGTTCCTGTACCGTTCTGACAGCGTCGTTCTGATACCAGGCAACCACAAAATTAGAGAAAGAAAACGATGATTCGAAAAAGTTTATTTTGATGTCCCTTTTGCTGGCAAGGGATCAGCCACAGAAAAGGTTTCACATTCATGTAAAAACATTGGCCATGTGTAAAGAGATGAAGGGAGCCGCTTGTGGGCTGCAGGCTGCCACTTCACTCCGACCAATGATCACCAAACTACTTCTACTCCAAATTGCTCCACAACGATCCTCCCAATCAAGATGGCGTCTTCAATAATGGTATCCATGGCTACTCCGCTACACCATGACACTTCTTTCATCACCATACGACGACTTTCCAAACCAGGCAGGCCACCAGTACTTATACCACCACGCGCCTTGTCATGCCTGACACACTCGGGAGAGCGATGTTGTCCAATAGTTCCGGATAGAATAAGAAGATGCTTTGTGAGAGAGAAAGACCAAAGAGAATAAAGGGAAAGAAGAGATGTCGTTTATTCAATCATCAAAACTTCCTTTAAATACTTTAACAAACAACTCCGTCGTAGACGTCACCGACAGGAGGACCTCTAAACTACTTTTCCACATAAGGAAAAGCTTTCCCGGACCATTCGACACAGGTCGTGTCATGCCTGACACGAACGGCACAGTTCTGGGTTCTTGCTTGTTCCGGCCTTGTAGGTTCTTGATGAAAACGAGATGATTATGCAATTACTTCACGAAAGCAACACACAACCAATGATAAACGACAAATGTATACGCCAAGGTTCTTCAATCAAAGATACGCTTTTCAACACAAAGGTAAACTCGACCAATATGTTTGCTCGCTAATCTCAATACGTGATCAGATAAGATGATATTTATTCAAGTTCACAGCTAAGTGCTTATATAGTTTTCTATGAGTGACTAGCTATGATGATATAAAATAAAAATGCTTATTCTCAGCGTTCACGGGTACATGGATTATTTCAAGGGACATACTGATAAAAGAAATGAGAAACGTGAATAGGGGAATGAGTCATTGTGATGGAATAACAAGGGAGAACAACAAGGGTAATGATAACAACAAGTAAACAGCATGATGATGATGATGGCAATGAGGAGCAGGTTGAGATCACGTGGTTAGCAGGGTCGATGGATCGAATCCCGGTATCCATGGCAACGATTTACGAGGAATATTCTCAGCCAATCAATCGAACATGCGGCCGAAGACCCGAGATTCCGCCTTCCATGATGAGTAATTTTGGGCCGGACCACGCTGGACACGCCGTGTCAATCTCCCCCACAGGCCAAAAATTAGTCATTGCTTCAATACTCTTGACGTTCCAACCATGCTTGAAATTGATGTTCAGCCCTTCGTACTTGTATGTCTGGAATGAGACGTTTGTGATGGCGATAAGGGATCAACATGTCACCGTTAACAGCACCACGAATCTTTCTGCCTCCAGGTCCAGTCAAGTAATAAACGCCATAATCAGTTATTCCAGTCACCGTGAGAGGTCCTAGCCATCTTGCATGAAATTTGGAGGGCGGGGTTTGATCCTTCATCAAGACTTGCTCTCCAACGGCAAATTTCTCACGATCCAAAACGGTCTGGTCATATCGCTTCTTGTTTCTTTGCTTTTCCATTTCAGCCTTGTTCCTTGCGTCTTCACGAATCGTCTCCAATGCTCGCTTTATGTGCTCGGCTCGCTCAGCAATGTACAAGTATTCTTCTCCAAGGACAAAGTCTTGACGTGGTGGTGGCCAAGTAGCTGGTGTTCGCATTTCACGCCCATACAATAAATAAGCTGGAGTGTACCCTGTTGCATCACTAGGCATCGTACGTATAGCCATGAGGGCAGGTCCAACAAATTCATCCCAACGGTCAAGCTTGTCTTCATCTTGTGCTAACTTAGCAATAGTGTTCACCAAGGTCTGATTGAGTCTTTCACAACATCCATTCGTTTGACGTCTATAGGAGGTGGTAGTCAAATGGCGGCAGCCCAAGTTCTTGAGGAAGTTGTGTACATATCTTGAAGTAAAGTTGGATCCACGATCAGTCAAAAGATAATTGGGAACACCGTAACGCTCAACTACTTCTTCAAACAGGAACTTGGCAGTGGTTTCTTCATCAATCCTGGCTACAGCACGAGCCATAGGCCACTTGGTCAAATAGTCAACAGCCACCAGGATGTATCGATTTCCAGAGGGTGATGGGTTCAAAGTGGGTCCAACGGCATCACATCCTACCATATAGAATGGATCCGAACGAATAGGTATGGGTCTTGCGGGTGCATTTCTTTTCCTTGGTAAGCGTTTTCGAATCTGACATGTATGGCAGGCCTTCACGTATCGCTCCACACGATCCTTCAAATTCGGTGCTTCGTATTGCAAACACACACGCCTATACGTGTTTCTTACGCCAAAGTGTCCTTCTTCATGCACAGCCTTGATCACCTCATCGACTCTTCCTTCATGCAGCAATTCCGGACCCAGCTCATCTTCAACCTCAGTCTTGCGGTAAACCTTCCCTCCATATGCCTCATATTTGGCAGCTTGCTTACGTATACGACGTTTGACTGACTCGCTTGAATCTCTAGGATACCTTCCATTCTTGAGATAATAGTACAACGCCAAATAACTAGGGTACTCCATAACGGCAATCAGGGACCAAGGAACCAAAACCAAAGACTAGGTAAGACCCAATAGGGAGAATTGAAGACCAATAGGACCAGAGTAACGAGAAATGATTTAACTTGCAAAGAATTAGGACTTGACGAAGGAATCACAGGGATTCAATACTTGTATTGAAAAAGAAAGGAAAGTAAAAAGATTGATAAAAAAAGAGGGGAGGGAGTGATAATGATTGTATATGTGTATGTATATGTCTATATCTAACTTGCTTCTATCTAAGGTCGTATTTATATCTTTTCATCAAAGATATGGTCCAACCTTGTTATGAAGTCATCATCAACGTGTTCAAGCTTGGGGCCCGGCATATCATATGGCGTGGGTTCTTGGTTCTTGTCATCTGGAAGGGTGCTTGAGCGGCCTAGGTCCCTCCATTGGATACTCAGATCAGGATTGGAGCTCTCACTTGCTGTTTCGTACTCATCCTCACAAGGAGAATATGGTAAGAAGCTTCCATCCATTTCATCATCGTGATCCATTAATTCGGAAACCCAAAACCACTCGTTAGTGCCCCTTTCCCGATTACTTACATGCATCGCAACATCCGCCAACATCTCGAGGTCCCGTAAAGCACATTGATTTCTTGCTGGTATCACCTCCTTGATCAAATCGGAGTCAGCTTCTTCATCCAAAAGAACGTGTCGAAGGACTTCGTCGGGTGCATCAACCGTAATGTGATACATTGATGGAGTATCGGGTGTCACCAATCGAGAGAGAGCATCGGCAGGATTGGTTCTTCCAGGAACATGGTGGACTTCAAAGTCAAAATCTTGAAGAAAAGCGGCCCAACGTTGCAACTTGGATGGCTTCGTGTTGTTGATGACGAAAGAAACAGCTGCATTGTCGGTCCTGAGGATAAAGTGTCGTCCAGCAAGATAGTGGCGATACTTGTGGACAGCCCAACAAACAGCCAAAGCTTCTTGATGCACCGCCGAATATCTTGTCTCAGGGCCACGTAAGATTCTTGAGTCGTACGAGATGACAGTCTCCTTCTCGGGTTCTCCATGTGGGTGTTGAGATAACACGGCACCCAATCTCAAATGGGAAGCATCGGTGGTGAGGACTTGGACTTGATCTTGATCGGGAAACGCCATGGTGGGATAATGGACAAGGTACATCTTGACTTGATTGAAGGCTTCTTGCTGTGGTTCCTCCCATTTAAATATCTTGTTCTTCTTCAGCAGATCTGAAACAGGCGCCATCAAATCTGCATACTTGGGAATGAATCTTCGATAGTACCCTGTAAGGCCCATGAAAGATCTTACATCGCCGACAGATCTTGGTGGGGGCATGTCTTGGATCTTTTGGACATTTCTTGGAGATGGCGAAACACCGCGTTCTGAAACAATATGCCCGAGGTATTCAACTTGGTCCTGAGCGAACTTGCACTTGCTCATTTTTAGCCTTAGGTTTGCTTGATGACAGGCTTCGAATACTTGCTTGAGATGATCCAAATGGTCTTGAAGATTGCGAGAGAAAATGATGATGTCGTCAATGAAGCAATATACAAATCGACCAATGAATGGTGCCAAAATGTAATTCATTGCTCTTTGAAAGGTGGAGGGTGCGGACGTCAAACCAAAGCTCATCACATTCCAAGTAAAGGTACCATATGGACAAACGAATCCCGATTTTTCAGCTGCATCCTTGGACATCGGGATTTGCCAGTAACCGCTTGCTGCATCCAATGTTGAAAAATAACGTGCACCTCCCATGGATCCAAGTACATCATCAATGTTGGGTAATGGGTAAGCATCCTTGACAGTTTGGGAGTTGAGCTTCCTGTAATCCACCACTAATCGCAGCTTGCCATCTTTCTTCTTGACAAAGAAAATGGGTGATGTCCATTGACCATCGGATGGAGAGATGAGACCAAGTTCCAGCAAGTTTCCCAATTCTTCCCGCAAGTACTTTTCTTCTTCCCAAGTGAGGCGATAAGGTTTCGATCGAATTGGTGTCTTGTCCTTGAGCGGGATTTCATGCATGACATGTTGCACACGACCCAAACCACCGATTTCAACAAAGCAATGCGCATATTGTTGCAATAATTCCTTGAACTCCGGCGGCAGATCTTGTGTATCCAGCTTGTCATCGATTCCAGAAATGTTTTCAACCTCCTCTTCATAACGCATTGGCACCAAAGGCGGATCTTGTACACCCTGCATGTCATTTTCTTTTGCATTGGACACTTGTGCAACATTGACAGCAAACACCACGTGGGCCTCAGCATCGACAACTTGATCACTATCTTGGTACCCTTGCAGAATCACCGAGTCCGCTCCATGTTTGATAGGTATCACAATTGATGCATCAGTATTGTCCACACGCACACCATGGGCGCGGAACCACGTCATACCTATCAAACATAGAGGGCGATCAGATTCAATAATACACATGTGTTCTTTTCTCAACTTTCCTGCTACACGAATCGGCACATCCTTGACGATATTGCATTCTTGTCCAGCACTTTGACCCAATGATGATAAAGGTAAAGAATCGGATGTAGCCTTGAGATTGTCATGATCATTGTTCGGATGTTTACTTGCATACCTCAATCTTGTTCTCATTCTCATCATTCCTTCCTTTTATTATAAATAAGCTATCAGCCTGCTCTTTCAATCAACCTTGCCTTGTTGCCTAGCAACCATCACAGAGATGTAACTTGTCTGCCAGCTTCTTGCTAATCACCGAAACGCTTGCACCAGTATCAAAAATGGCATCAATGCATTCACCATGGATCACAATCGGAGCACGTAATGGACGACTTTTCCTCATCTTGGCATAATCGTATGGATAATCGGCTTCTGTATCATCGGAATCATATGCATCAATTTCTGAATGCACATTAAATTCGCCATCCTCCGATTCATAATCCTCAAAGTCGGATCCATCACTCCATGAGTCTTCGCTTGACAAGTCTTGGTTGATAAGATTCACGGGAGCAGCACCTTGTACACCAACACCTTGTACACCAGCAACTTGAGCCTTTGGTTTTCTTCCATATAAGTAACGCAACCCATCACGAATATCCATATAAGCTTGACGATCCATGGACAACCAATCCGCAATGGTTAAACCAGCATCAACTTGCATGAGGCGTCGCCAAATGTCTTTACGCTGTACAGGTACCGGCAATCTTCTTGGTGGTTTTCTTTTCTTCTTGACTAATGGTTGAGGTGTTTCTTGATTTGTATTGGTGGGTTGAGGTGGATCCGCTTGCATTGGTGAAGACCTGGTCCTGGTTCCTTGGGCTCGCTTCTTTCCAGTACCCGATCCTTCAATGCCGGCATCCTCAGCTGTTCTCTTGATGTTGTACACCTCAACGAAATGCACATCCTTATCGGCGCCTTGATTTTCTTGTTTGGTGGATTTTTCTTGTTGCTTGTTACCGGGAGGATTTTCTTGTGCTACTTGGGCATCGGTATCCCGATCTACTGATGCCCTTTGTCTTTTCCCGATTCCTTGCAATCGCGAGCTCGATGACCTTCTTCACCACAATTGTAACACTTGAATGCTGGTTTTGAAGACTCCTTGTTCTGGTTACGGTTGCCTTGAGGTCGGTCCACCAAATTTATCTTGAGTGCACGCATTCCTTCCACTAACTCGGATAACGTAGAGCCAATGCTATCGGATGCCACACTTTGTTTGGATGACACACTTGAGGGACCCGTTTTCCATGGACGATGGCTGACATCAGAGGTAGGCACAGCAGTAGTACTAAAACCAGGCTTCTTGTACTTGCTCATGATTAATTCAATTTGACGAGCCTCCTTGACAACACCATCCCAAGTCTTCGGCAAGCCATTCTTCTCCAATTCATAAGCGATATCAAACTTGAGCGACTGCACCAAACAGCGAATTTGAAAAGACTCATCAGTCACTTGCACCAAACGAAAGAGCTCTTGAAGGGATAATGCAACATCATCAACGGTCTCTTCATCGCCTTGTTCACGTGTTTGGATCTTGTTCCACCAGCGATCTTCCAATGAGGCAGCAAATTGCTTCTTGAATTGTGCAACGAATTGATCCCATTTTGCAATAGAATCTTCCACGGCATCCCACCAAAGACCAGCACGACCAACCAAATGCGAGGATGCAATAAGGATAATCTCCTCATCATTCAGCTCCAGTCCCTTGCGGATGCGATTAAGATGCTTGAGCCAAGTAAGTGGGTTGCTTTCTTCAGATCCTGAGTAGTCCTTTGGCTCCGAGAGGAACTTGGTAACCTTGCTCTTGCGGCCTGACAAAGTATTATCTTGTGCGGATCGCGTTTCGTTCGCCATTATTAATGTTGATTAATAATCTTTCCCCTGTAGTGAGCACCAATTGACACGAACGGCACAGTTCTGGGTTCTTGCTTGTTCCGGCCTTGTAGGTTCTTGATGAAAACGAGATGATTATGCAATTACTTCACGAAAGCAACACACAACCAATGATAAACGACAAATGTATACGCCAAGGTTCTTCAATCAAAGATACGCTTTTCAACACAAAGGTAAACTCGACCAATACAGGATTTCCCAAAAGAAGTGGAACATGAGGATAATGATTTCGTGGTTAAGGTGATTGGTTTCGTGGGTGATGATTATTTGTTCGTGGCTAATGACATATGAGTTCGTGGGTGATGGTTTTTAGTTTCGTGGGTAACGCTTTTGGTTTCGTAGGTATCGCCTTTTGAATTGGTGGGTGGTGCCTTTTGAATTGGTGGGTGACGCTTTTGGTTTCGTGGGCACGGCTTTTTATTTCGTGGAGGATGACTTTAATTTTCGCGCAGGATGACTTTAATGTTCGTGGGTAGCGCTTTTGATTTCGTGGGTGATCATAAACTATTCTATGCAACAGCGTACATCAATCAGCAAGTCGTATGCAATGTTGACCAGCAATACAGCGTATGAAACCTTTATTATCACCCACGAAATCAAAAGCGCTACCCACGAACATTAAAGTCATCC